TTTTTTTTTTTTTTAAAAAAAACTCGTATCATGAGCTTTCCATTAGGGTTAGCTTCCAATGGACTGGAACCGCCCGCATTGTGATTTTAAGAGGCCGATTAAGGCCCTTTTGTTATATTTAATCACAGTCAGAATTTTTTTTACGTATGTTTAATTTTTTTTTCGTGGATTCAAGTTATTTCAAAGATGTTCTTTTTATATATCTAAGATTTTTTTTTTCCTGATTTATATGAATATAAGCACATTTAACTAATTTTTATAAAATTTATTGAAAAAAGTTACTATTTTTTTTAAAAACTGATAAGATATTACGATAATACTGTACTTAACATAAAGGTGGGATTAATTAAAATAAATCTTTTTAATTTAGTCATTAACTAATTAGATTTAACTATAAGAAACTTTCTTAAATGTGAGATTAATAAGTAATTAATTAAAAAAGTGTAACTCCTTTTGAAGGAAAAGTGAAAATATTTTTATTAAATGTTTTATTAAATGCTATTAGCTAGCAATTATATATATATAGATTATACCAATCATAGACATAACTTCGAAGTCCTGAGCCAAACAAGTCGTGAACCAAACCTTTTTGGTGAATTGCAATTTACACCTAAAACCCTATTAATCTCTGTCGCCTCATCACATTCACTTCCTCTCTCTTTCTCTCCCTCTAGAGATTTCCGGCTTTGGAAATGGCAGACCTTACAGAAGACAACGGAAAATTCAATGGTGGTGAAGCTGAGGAGAAGCCGCGAACGAGGCATAAGGGGAAGCACGACAAAGATAAGCCGTGGGATGACCCGAGCATCGATCACTGGAAAATCGATAAATTCGACCCCTCATGGAACGAAGGCGGCATGTTAGAAGTTAGCTCATTCTCTACTCTCTTCCCTCAATACAGAGGTCCCAAAATACTTTCTTTTGCTACACTTACTCCAACTTAGATTTGATTCGCTTTTGCAACATTGGCTTAATTTTGCTTCAAATGATATACAATCAATTTTTGGATATTGATCCGGTGTATGCTGTTGCTTACACGAAAATTTTCACCCAAAGTTGTTTGATGTAGTTGATTTAGGACGAACGATTGATTTCATTTTTTGGTTTTGGCTGAAAATAAGCATTAGTTTAAGTAATATGGTCTGATGTTGTGCAATTGCTCACTTGGATTTGAAAGTGATGACTTTCGATTTTGGAAGTTCTATGTTGCCTTTAAAATTACCCTTCTTCAGCTAGAGATTACTAGATTAATAAGCTTTGAGTTTTTCCCCGTGATTAAAATGGGGGTGAGGCAAGCCGAGCCAATATGAAAAACTGGAAATAAGAAAAAAAGGAAAACTGAAATCTATCCATGGCTTACCAGAAGCAACAGAAAAACTGAAAAAAATTAGTCACGACTCCCAAACAGCAGCAAGAAAAGAAAATCAGAAAAACTCAAGGCTTCTGTCAGCACTGTACATAAAAGAATCGGCCAGAAAATAGAGAACAAAAGGGGAAAAGGTAGAAATGAACAAAAAAAATGAGAAAAAGGTGAATATGAAGAAGGAGAAATGGAAGAAAAGAAAAATGAGAAAAAGCTGATAAAGAAGGGAAAAACACACACTTGTCTCCACGGTCACTGGTCGCTGGAGAACCACTGGTTCAGGTTGCCTTGTTCAGGTGAAGAAAAGGCATCTACTGATTAAGAGTTTTGTTGGAGAAAATATGTATCATTTAAAAATGACATATCAAGCCTATAATCCTGATGTATATTACATGCTTGCGCGCCTCAGTTCTTTGTGGCACACATATTGCCCAGCACAAGGTGTGCCTTTTGCCACCTATTCTAGGCACACATCCTCACCTAACACCTTTTGAACTTACTGCCCATTGCATAGATGAACCCGAATATCCCTATATAGGTCACAGCGTAACATTTCTAATTTTAACTCATAATGTTATTTTATACATTGCTTGATAAGCATTTTTGAGACGACCGAAGTATTATTACCACATCGCCTTAGCCACCACTGTCCTTGAGTAATTTTGATTCTCTTCAAGATTCAAATATATTGGTCTGAAGCAGACTGCCACTCTTTTTACATGATAAAGAGCTATTATTCGTATTTTTTTCACAATGCATCCACATAAAATTGCATAATGTGATGTTCTCAAACCATTTGGTGACGCAACACTTCTTTTTTATATATTTTTCTACGCTGTCTTCATTTTTGTAGAGAAATATTTGCAAGAGTGCTGGCCTATAGTCAAAGGTGCCCTAAAAGAGCATGGGGTTGCTTGTGAATTAAATTTGGTAAGTCAAGCCAGTTAATATATGTTTGGTTATGTTTCATTATTTCTCCACACAAGTACTTCTATCACTCTCGTTAAAACCATTGAGTTGAAATTTGGTAAGTCAAGTTTTTTTGTTTTTTTTTTTATATTATTATTATACACACACACACATATATTATTAATGGCTTTGTGGTATTAGGTTGAAGGATGCATGACTGTTTCAACTACCAGGAAGACTAGGGATCCCTATATTATTGTTAAGGCTAGAGATCTTATTAAGCTTTTGTCACGAAGTGTTCCTGCTCCTCAGGTTGGATATTTTCTAATGCTTATTTACATCATAGTTGTTTACTCTTTCTAATACATAGATTGTTTTCTATATTATTGTTTTAATTTGTTGAAAGCATATACTCTTGCTAGTCATCTCATCAAAAGATTTTACTAGAGCATAAATAGAGTCAACTGTTTCAATGACTATATTTGTACTTGGTCTAAATTTTTAACCATCTGAAGTTACATCCCCCTTTTGATACTGTTCATGGGTCGTTCATCATAGGAAACAAGGTGACCCCGCCGCTGCAAACCTCTGTAGAAACAAATCTTGCTGTTCCGTATTTGATGAGATTTTGGAAATTGTTGTTAATGTTGCATTATTTTATTTACAGGCAATAAAGATCCTTAATGATGAGATGCAGTGTGATATTATCAAGATTGGGAACTTGGTCCGAAGCAAGGTGTGATATATAATCACTTTGTGCATCTGTTTGTATTTTTTACTTATCACTGGCCCCTCATATATTAATGAGAATGACTAGAGTAGGTACCAGGAGAACATAAATTTTATTCATCTAACACTATAGCCTATGCACATGCATATCCGATCTGTATCTCTCCTTTTGGAGGTTAAAGTAATTTTCTGGCAAAATTATAGCATTAAAGATGAATTAGAGAGTGACAAGAACATAAAAATACCAAAAGTGATTCAGACACTTGGAACACAAAGCGTTTTCTGTTCACCACAATATTGTGTGTGGTTCTCTTTGATGAAGAATCTCATCGTTTGCTTGCAGGAACGATTCGTAAAAAGAAGGCAGCACTTAGTGGGTCCCAATTCATCTACTTTAAAGGTATGCAATTTGATAGTTGTTTACTGATTGTGATTGTGATAAGATAACAGCATATGATTATGATATAGGATTAGCTATGGAGACTGCTGTTTATTTATTTAGTCATTCATTTTTTTGTTTCTTGTGTTAACCTACTCATGTGATTTATGCTATATAGTATTCTTCTCCCCTGATTCATGTATACATTGTCATAACTCTTTGAAATGCTAATATAATGCAGGCACTCGAAATTTTAACTGGGTGCTATATTCTGGTTCAGGTGAACACTTAGAATGTCTCTTTATTTGAATATATAGAGACAATTTAGTGATTTTCATTGCATTGATTGAAGTTGTTTTTTTTTTCGAAAATTTTCAAGTCCTGAGTTGATGCTTTATACTTTTACAATAAGTAGGGAAACACAGTTGCAGCAATGGGTTCATTTAAAGGTCTGAAACAAGTGCGTAAGGTGGTTGAGGACTGCATCTTGAATAAAATGCATCCAGTATATAATATCAAGGTGAGCAGTCATATTTATTCCTTTTGTAATATCGTTTTGTTTTGGCTTTTTTATTGGGATTTGGAAGTTCTGATGTTTTCATGGATTCCGTGAACAAAAGATCCTAATGATGAAGAGAGAACTTGCCAAAGATCCTACACTTGCAAATGAAAATTGGGACAGATTCCTTCCCAAATTTAAAAAGTAAGCCCTTCATTCTCCTTGCCATTAAGTCCTTGAGTTGTCATCTTGAAGAATCCACTTTGCAGCAACTTTAACATTTTACTTTTATTCAACTTCCAGGAAAAATGTGAAACAAAAGAAAGTTAAAACTAAAGAGAAGAAACCTTACACGCCATTCCCTCCACCACAGCAACCTAGTAAGGTGAGTCAATTGTCATTTTCTGATGCTCTGATGTTACTGACTTTGTTCCTTATGCGTACTCTTATTCACAAAACTAATCATTCTATTAATTTAAGTTAGCATGGTAAAATTTCATGCTGTAACTGGTTTTTCAACTTTACTCTGCAATTTTACCTACTTAACTAAAGGCAGGACGAAGTGCTATTTCATATTAATTTTTTAAAATACTTAATTGGATTGTTGTTTATGTAAGGGATTGAATTGGAATTGATATGATTAAACTTTTTTGAGTGAAAAATATATAGCAGTCAAGGGAATGGATGCTTCACCAAAGAAAGTTATAGGAACTTCAGTATTGACTTGCTATATTGGAGGCAGATGTTATAATGTTCTGAGCTTGTAGAAAATTCAGCTTTATTATGATCTTGAGATTACTTTATGCACTTACTCCATTTTACATTTTGTGATTGGGGTTCTTGAGGACAATTTTTGTACTCAGTTTACCGTCTGACAACTTTCAGATTGATTTGCAACTGGAAAGTGGTGAGTATTTCTTAAGTGACAAGAAGAAGCAGGCAAAGACGTGGCAGGAGAAGCAAGAGAAACAGGCTGAAAAAACAGCTGAAACTAGAAGAAAACGTGATGAGGCATTTATTCCTCCAGAGGTTCGATTCAGGAACTCATGTCCCCTTGTTACCCATTGTGATTTTGTGCTTTTTATTTCATGTGAATGCTGTTTTTTCTTTTTTCTTTTTTTTTTTGTTTTTGCAGGAGCCTAAAAGAGATCAGAGAACACATGCTGATGACAAGAATGATGTTGCCGCCATTGCATCGTCGTTGAAGGTAAAATGCGACCACATGCTTGAAAATATATATTATTTGGAATATTGATTTTTGTTTGAGGTGGGTAAAATTGAGAAAGTAGGATGAGACTTTAGTCATTGAGGTTCGAGATGTAGCTACAAATGAACCAAAGCATAACGTGTGAGATCCCAAATGCCTAAGAAAGCTTCGATCTTGTATTTCGCATTTTAAGTTCAACAAAGAAGATTTGTTCATATTATAGGATAAAGATGATAATACTCTAATCTTTGGCGCGGGTATGAGATTACTATTACAAGTAATACTTAGGATGTGTGAAATTGGGATTATAGCCACTCTTTGTGTAAGTTTGTGTTTTGGACGTCAATGCACCAAATCAATAAGAAAATAACTAGATATATTATATCCACCAAAGGAGAAGTTCTTTGGCATGGCCATGGGAACTTGAGAAATTATTTGGATAACGAGTATGAAATCCATCATCGCAATTCAGCATAATCAAAAGAGAGTTTTTCTGGTTCACATCTGTATCTGTTATTCCGTGGTGGTGGATTCATAGACATTATGCCGCATGAGGTATATTTGACCCTTTTTTTTTTATCTCTACTGCAGAAAAAAGCTAAGGATTTTGGCAGGCAAAAATCGGCTGAGAAAATTGATGCAAATGCATATATTGCAGTTCCAGACAAGCATACCTCAAAAAAGAAATTAAAGAAGCATTCCTAAACATTCAGTAGTTTTATTTCTGTTGTATCAGGAGAGCTGGGATAAATGATCTATAAAAATTGATGGAAAATTTTCTTACACTCAAGGCCGTGTTTGCTTCAAGCATAGCCGCTGAACTCCTTTTTTGGGAAAATGTTTAATGGAAATGGATTTTATTTGGGCTCGTCTGCTGTAGGTCTGTTGAAAGAACTCATCATCGTGATTATATTGTTTGCTACAATGTAAACTGGTTTGAATTTTGAAATTTATTTGAAAGAATTTATGTTGTTCAGTTTTCCTACTGATATCCACATGTAACAGCACTAGTAAAGTGCATGTGAGAATAATTTAATTTATACGCTTTGTGATAGTCTTTCGGAGTCCGTCTCGCAGAAATGCTATGGAGCTTGGATGGTTTCCTTATGGAGCCATCCATAACGTTAGGTATTGACACGCGTCCAATGTGCATTTATTACAGGACACGTGTTAATACACCATTTGTGGATAATTATGGATGGCTCCATAAGTCGAGTCATCCGATGGCTCCATAGCAAAACCGGTCCGTCTTGTACCACGATTCATTGTGCAAACAAAATCAAATATCATCCCAAAACTAATTATAAAATAGTTTGGATTACTAGATATAAAATGGATATAAAATGGTTTGGTTTAGTAGATTAAATGAAGTCGCTAGGAATAAGGGATAGACAGATATAAAGGAATTTGAAAATCGAGCAGTTTTAAGGATAGACATTGACATCATTAAACTAAGTATAAGATTTGGATAGCAAATGGCATAGATACATCATTATAAGATTGGCATTAGCAGATTAAACAGGATATAAAAACCGAAAAGTTTAAATAAAACGTGTCAACAACTTACTTTTAGTAATAAGTTGTTAAATTTTTAACGTATTTTTTTATTACTGTATCAAGGAAATCATTTACCTTATTATATAGTGATAGATTTATATTAGAATCACACATATGGTGTCAGTGTATTTCAATCCAAATCTTCAATTTAATCATACAATGTAGCGCAATTGCACATCTAATATATTACGACATTGTCCATGTAAATATTTAAAGATGGTCGAAAATTTTGCATATTGAGAATGGTCCGAAATTCATTATCATGCAATCCATAGTGTACACATCAGTTTTACATGTAATGCATAACATTATTATTTTTCCATTCTCAAACCAACTGAAAAAACAGAAAACATACACATTTATTTATTCATGAAAAGCACATTGAATTAGCAAGACCATAGCCAGGACAGTTGACCACGTACTCAAGATCCTCCCATTCTGCATGACTTAGCATCTCATCAATCTCACTATAAATATCACAGTTTGAAAAAGATGAAGCAGCCGGTGGAGCTTGATATGCCGAGCTTAAAAATTGGCCCGAAAATTCATTTTGATCAGCTTTATCAACAATATGGCCGGAATAAAGGTTTTTCTGGCTGTGATCCATATTTTGCTTAACAGTTGTTAATGGTGGTGCACTGAAGCTAATATAGCTGCCTTTTCCGTTTTCCTCATTCGACTCCATATTTTTGCATGTTTCTGAACTTGCATCGACTAATAGTTTATTATTTATGTTGTTAATTTTCTTCACGGCAAGCCTCAAATCCGGCACATATTTTCTATAGGGCGTGTTGCGCTTTAGTATCCGGCATAAGGTCCAAACTTCCTGTAAATTTAAGGGAAATGCAAATTATTGATTGATTTATAACTACATGCAATAAACATTAAAAATAAAAATTGCAAGTAAAAAAGAAAACATAAATTCTTCTGAAAGTTGGTCTAATTGCTAGACGAGTCGATCTATTATATATTTTTTTTTAATAAACATGAAGTATGCATATGTACATAAATTTTTTGTGAGAATAGTTTGGAAAATCAGCATGCATCTAAAAAAATATTACCGGAGATAAGATTAATTTATTAATAATTTTAATTGATGTGATGTTTTTTTTTTCTAAGAAAAATAGTGATTATAATCATGTGATGAATGAAAATGATTGATCATTAAGACAATAATAGTTGTTAGTAACCATAATGGTGCTTAATTTTTTTCTCCCAAAATATTTCAAACGAGACAAAAAAATCTGATCCTTTGACAATATGAAGCACATAAAACTTCAAGAATTTCAACTAAACCCTTTTCAAACTATCATTAATCATTCAGATTGAGATGTTGACAAAAGAAAAAGTAACTGCATGCACATATAGTTACTAGAAAAAGACATTGAGAAAATAATCATATGGGGATTAATTAAATTAATATATAACTTTCTTACAGCTTCTTGAGGATTATTGGGCGTGGGGTCCACGTGCTTGGCCGGCAGCCGAAACTCGTGCATCATCCACTCAGTCTTAGTGCCTTTTCCGGCGCTTCCACGATAGTAAACGAGAGACTTCTTGAGGCCTATGCAGTGGCGGCCCGAATGTATGGGCCGGTCTATGCCAGTCGCCTTCCAGAAGCCCGAGCCCGTTACTCTATTGGGCCTCACACTGTTTTTGTATTTTCTTCCCCTTTTGCAGAAGAAGTACCACTCTTTGTCTTTCTCACCTAAATTTGTTGATTCTGAAATAACAATAATAATAAAAAAAAAAATTAGTGTAACAAAAAAGAAAAAAAAATCTTTTATTACAAGCTAATGCATTTTACATTCATGATCTCATGATAATTAAGCTTTTATGACAAGCTAATGCATAACATTAATTCTAATTTTTGGCTTCTATATATATGTGTCTTTTCTTTATTCTAACTTTGAAATCGTAAAATTTCATTTACATACATTAGAAATTGAGGATATGAGGCTCTGTAGTATTTACAGAACATAATTACAAAGTGAAAGTACCATAATTTAATAGAATTTAAAGAATTTTATGGTAATCAGAACAGCGGTGGTGAAAAAATCATGGCTCTGATACCATGCTAAAACTAGGAGAGAATGCATAGAGTAGAGAAGAGAAAGATGCGTATTTTCCATTTGCTTGTAATAGTGAAATTACATCCAAAATATCTAATTATCAAAATAATTACTACGTACCAAATCAAGATCATATCAAACGAAAGATATCTTACTAAAATAACTAAAGCCTATCTTAACATGAACGTAACAAAATTGATAAGTGAGATAATGTAATGTTAAACTAAATTGAAAATATAGTAGAGAAACATACTTGGAAGATCCCAAGGATCATATTTGTAGATATCAACCTGCTTGATAAGGTCAATGCTCATCGGCTTCTTCTCGACTTTCCTTCTAAGATAAAACCCTACGAGTTCTTCATCTGTTGGGTGAAAACGGAACCCTGGAAGTGACGCCACCTCATCTTCTTCTTCTTCATCTCTCTTGTTGCTTGTCACTTTATTAATGCTCATCAAAGTTTCTACTTCCATCATATGGTTACTGAATTTTTTTCTAGCCTTTGTACTAGAAATGTATCAATGGCTTTTGCTGAAAATAGGGTTAGAAAGTTTGGAGTGTTTTCTTTGTCATTGAATATATATACATATAGCGGTGATGTTTGAATAGGTATTATGCAAATTGCACATGCACTTGATGAGGAGCATTTCAATAAATTAATTTTAATTATTTATAATTCTGTTGGTCAAAGTTGTCACTGTTGACTTGTCTTATTCTGATTGCTGCCCGCACAGGATAGAGTCTTATGGTTTTTGAACTTGAAGCAGTCTCC